CTTTGACCCTTGCTGGAAGTGCTGTGTGTGTGTACATTCACAATCTCTGTAAACTTCCTCTACTGCACAGCAGCATATTAAAACAAAGCACATACTTACTAGGTTGCTACGCTCACGCAACACTCATTACCTCCAGAAACAGACATGCTTGTAATTATAGCATGCATGTGTGTCTAATTTCTTTGCTGAGTGCATAATACACAAAACACTGTGTCAGACACAAAGCTAACTCGTACACACAATTCTTCCAGATAGACACGCTTTCCACACATGCAAACCTCCCCCAAAAAACGAAGGACATCACACAAAGCATGTAACTGGCACATTCAAAAAAAGTGCACCTCCATGTGTGTTCAAAAACGAGACGAGCAAGACTCCTCGATGGGGGTGAGCCAACAGACAGACATGCGAACCCCACCCATGCTGTGTGCTTGCACTATCAGAGGAAGGAATCGCTTCGCCAGCCTTGACATCTGACAAAACGTCTCCCCTAATTTAAAGCACTGTCTGAGCAGACGGAACAATATAGTCTGGCTACAATTTTTAGGTTTCGGTAGGCATTAAGAATGCATCCCAAAAGTATTCAGAAATGTCAATTGATTAACATTGATTTTTAAATGACTCCACAATTACCCCCCCCCCAAAACTGAATACTTGGTTACATCCTTCAATCTAATGGAGCTTTAATGCAAAATTCTGCATGCACAAGCAAATGCACGTAAATTCATGAATGCTAATCACGCCCTTCTAGCAAAAGCTTGATAAAAATAAGCAAGTCATGACATTTTTGTCTAATTATATCACTTTCTCAAGGTGTGAACTTCTCAGATGAGATGTTTGCTTCACATTCAAGTCTGTATGTGCCACACAAAGAGGGCTTAGGTCGGGTGAGCGGTCACAGCAGGTGGGGGCAGCAAGATTTTGAGTGGAAATGAACCTGGAAATCTGATGTGACACAAAGCATTTTGCAATATGCATCACCGTGTCTCGTCAAAACATCTCTCATCGTTTCTGAATTCATAAAGCGTCTGAAAAATTGTCTGAATTCATAAGACAATGCAAGAACCATCATGTAGTAAATTAAAGGGATAGTCCACCCAAAAATTTAAATTCTATCAGCATTTACTCACCCTCATGTCGCACTAAACCTGCATGACTTACTTTCTTTTGCGGAACACAAAAGAAGATATGGTAACACTTTACAATAAGGTCCCATTAGTTAATGCATAACTAACATGAACTAACAATAATCACTACATTTGCTACAGTATTTATCTACAGTAGTTCATGTAGGCTCAGGTCCATTAAGTAATATTAACAGATATTGATTGATTTGAATCAATACAATAAAATTGGAGCCTGCTGACTTTCATTATACACTCTCCGGGGGGAAAAAAAGGTACAAAAGCAGTCACTGGGGTGGCACCCTTTCAAAAGTTACTAACATGTACCATTTAGGTACTGCTATGTAAATTTTAGTTACTGATGTGTACCTTTAAGGCGTTAATATGCACCACTTAGGGGTAAATAAGGTACAAAGCAAGACCTTTTGAAAGGTTACCGCCCCATTGACAGCTTTTGTACCTTTTTTCTGCGTATACATGAACCAAAACAAGAGACTTTTCAAACTATCTTCTTTTGTGTTCAACAGATAAAAGAAATTATGAAAGTGTTTAAATGTTGACAGAATTTTCATATATTCCTTTAATTACCACATCCTTGCAAAAGCTTGATTAAAAAAAGCAAGTATTATTTTCATTAATTTCAGTCACTAAGTTCTCATAAGGTTAGATCACAATTGCGTGACCCATACTCGGAATTAGTGCTCTGTATTTATCCCATCCAAAGTGCACACACACAGCAGTGAACACACACACACCGTGAACACACACCCAGAGCAGTGGGCAGCCATTTTTGCTGCGGCGCCCGGGGAGCAGTTGGGGGTTCGGTGCCTTGCTCAAGGGCACCTCAGTCGTGGTACTGAAGGTCCCCTTTATGATATTCACTCCCCTCACCTACAATCCCTTCCGGTTCAAGACTCGAACCCCCAACCTTTGGGTTACGAGTTCGACTCTCTAACCATTAGACCACGACTTCCCCATCATGGCACACAAAGCAGATCAGGCACAGATTGGTGGGGTTGTCGCAGCAGGTGAGACTGTGCCGTGCTAACGCAGGTGTCAGGGTGGAAATAAACTTGGAAATTCGGTGCGAGACAAAGACAAAGCATCTCACAACACACATCATGTCTGGTGGAGATGGGCACATCACGGAGCCACTGCTGATTACTACTGCGTTGGCTCTTTGAATGCGTACCGAGCATGAGAGTGACTGGGATTTACAAGTCTCTTTGATGCAAGGCATAAAAGTGTCAGCACACCAAGTGTGTGTGAGTGTGTGAGAGAGAGAGTGTGTGTGGTGTGCCTGGGGTGTGCAGTGGTTAATCACCAGGGTGGGCAAGTTCTCATTTCCATACTCTACGCCCAAGCAGGAGGGGGTGATACTTTGGGAAATATGGAACTAGAGAGAGAGAGGTGGGGAAAATTGAGAGAAAGGCAAAAAACAACAGAGAACGTGTCTGGCTGTTTGAAGAACACAAAGCGGGAGTGTGATAAAATACGCCGATTAGTAAAGTAACCTTGTGCATATTTCATCTCTGACAGTTGTGTGCGACACCTAATATTTTATAGAAAAGACTCGCCTTTTCGTATTTACTCAATCTTTTCTCCCTCCCACCGCGTTAACTCAACTATCTTTATATCTCTGTTGCAATCTGTCCTCTGTTTCCAGCAAAGCCTCCTCTTCTCGTAGCTGCTTTATACTCCCCAACTGAGCTCATTAATATTTCGTGCATATTTCACGCACGCTGCTAGATATCTGATATCATCAGGGTGTTTCGGCGAGGAGAGCAAGAGGTTAGCAGTGCCGTTTAGTTTTTGCTGGAAAAAACATGGCTGCGGTCGAACTAAGTAAGTCAGGCGACCAATCAAATAAGGCTCCCTGTAATTATCACCTCTCTGAACAAACAAATATGATGACATCTCATTTTGATGGTAATGAGCCATAATGGACACAATGGGAGATATAATGATGCTCAAGCAAGCTTTTATCACAGACGAACTCTGTGAATCTTCAGAAAAATGACATGGAGTGGCTCTTTTGAATGCAACCTACAGGTAATCACAGCAAACCATTTTTAAAAAAAAGTGCCATTTCAATTTTACGCTGATTGTATTCAACAGTTCTGGCAGGTTAGAAAGGTGCACATCTATATTCATAAGCTGGATGAGTGTGAGAAGTGCGTCTACTCTCTGTGAATTTTAAAAACAGTTCTGGAACCATCAACCGTATGATGATGATTATTAGGTTTCACCCTCGGCTCTCATTTTCACACCGGCAGACTCTCACTTCGCGAGCGGCCCACACGGCTTTCATCACCACCTTGACAAGCATCTGCGTGCATAAAAATGCAACATTAATTACTTGATGGGGGCAGATAAACACGCTCACTCCAGTGAAACTGACAGTAAGGGAGCTGCCACTAAATTCACGGGCTACTTCGTACATTGCACACCCTATTTAATAGCTGATTTATAGGCTGAAAACAAAAACAGCAAAAAAATTAATAATTTAACCCACACCTGTATGTTTTGTCTGCCCAGCTTGGGGAGCATAATAATGACTTTGATTGAAGGTTCCCTAAAGCGTTTACAAGCCAAACATTTTACAAGATAAGGGCCGTCTTTGAAGAGTGAAAGAAAATGCAAATCTGCAGGAGTGCAATTTCAAATTAGAGACTAAAGGGAGGAAAAACTTGTCTGTGGGTACCGGGGTGCACAAAACAATAAAAGAATGTCAACACGAGCAGCACATTACGCCCCCCATATGCTGAACGCAAGGTGAAAACCCACCAGTCCTCAGGGACTAAAAGGGAGGAGGCGTTTAGAAAGGAGACAATGGAGTCATAACCACAGGGGGAGCGCGTGAAAAAAGAAAGAGATGGTGAAAAGAGATGTTCGGGTTTCATGAAACTTGGTACGGCTCGCTGAAAAGACACAATCCCAGTCGCGACTCCTGGAGTGGCACGCCACACCTCCCAGAGGAATAGTACAATAACCGCAAGCTGCTGATACAGAGGCTGGAAAACCACTGAGTAAATGTGTGATTAAACATCTAGTTATCTACCAATTAAGCCTGAATAGATTAGATCCATTCCACAACAGGTTAGCGTGGCATTTGAGGTCTTTGACTAGTCACCTCGGACTAATTGGAGTCTTGAGAATAGGATGTCAAAGCAGCTGTCTGATAATGTTGTTTCAGATGCATTGACATTTGCCTGATGTTATTTATCTAAATCAGTCCTATTAAAGTTTTACAAACTGATTAAAGAAAAATGAAAAGCATTTAAGAACAGTTGGCGATTTAGATAGCAATTCTCAGTGTTTGCAAACTACATTTCAATAGCAGACATAAAGATGAAAACCTTTTTGCTTTTCATGTTTCTTTTTTCCTTTTCTAACAAAGTGAAGCTGGTTAGAGCTTGAAATAGAATGCAAGAGCAAAAATCAATGAATACTCTCAGAGGTCTGTCCCAGAGTGCAGGCAACCTTCTGAAAGGTTATCAAATATAAACCGAACAACGAGCTGAACACAAAGATGCATTATGTTCGGTGCTCTGACGGTAAGTTATGAAATACTAAATGAGATTCCTGTCGTCAGGTAAGTAAAAACAATACATTACTCCAAATCGCATTACTTAATTTAATGAACCCATGTTCAAGAACTTCTCCACTGACATTCACAATAACTTAATGTAACATAACCCTAAACATTTCCCTCAATACTATGTCATTTGTAACTGAAATGCAATTATTTTAATCTTTTAAAAAAGCAAAAGATGAATAGTGTTTTAAAATGCATCTACATATTAACAAATTCAGCGCTCAGAATCTAAAAACGCATAAACACCCAAAAGTTTCTCAGCGAACTGTGCTACTCACTTCATTCAGCGGCACTGCGTTTCATCCCCTTTGAAGTCAAAGCGAAAGTCCTGTTAATTTTTAAAACAACAACACAAGCGTTTGAAAGTGAACCCGGGAAATTCCATTATGCGTGTGCTACATTGTTGTGAATCCAGCGAGCGCCGACAGCGGCTCTGGGGTGGGAGTGGGCGGGGCTTTCCGAACGACATGAAACAGTTTCAATGAAGCGCTTGTAGAGTAGGCGGGGCTTGTCCTTACGTAGGGGAGGTACTACAGGTGAACAGATAGACAAAGCATTTTCCTTTTATATTAGCATTTAGTTTTCAGACATGACTGCCTTTTTGTTGATGTTGATTGATGTGATGATGGTCAAGGTGGTGATGATGTTGAACATTGTTGAAGCAATAAAAACATTTTATTTTAATTAATTTTATTTATGATTAATATACATAGCTATTATTTGTATTAAAATTAATGACTTTTTCCCTTCACAGTTTTTATTGTGCTTATTGATATTCGGTATTAATGCATTTTCCTTTTCATTAAATTTTTTTTAGGAGTATCGGATAATCACTCCTTATTATCTGACAGATATTACTGAAATTATTATAATAATAAGTGATATTTAGACAATAAGAAAAAGTAACCAATCAGAAACACTCTGTGCCTGTCAATAAATTTAATTAGCTGATTCAGGGTTGTCATTTGAAGGCAGGAGAGAGAGAGATTTATTGAAAATGAAACTTCAGAAAGTACAAACAGAACAGTTTTTTTTTTATTTTTGCATTCTGATTTAATCTTAATATATGCAAATTAGGATAATAAGTAAATAATAATCAATAATCTGCATTTATCAAAAGTTATGTAGATCCCACAGAAACCATCACAATATTTTTTCAAAAGATTTATTTTGACAACATATTTAGTAAAACGTAGGTATATGAACATACATTTTTCAAAACCCCATTTAGAATTATAAGAAATACCTTTTAAGAAGCTATATTTAAAATGAGTGGTCTGTACATGTGGAACATCAGCACAAAACTTATGGATCATCAGTATATTTAATAATAACATTACTTAAAAATAATTACATAATTGTTACTTAAAAGCTGCTAACCAGTGCTAATGTAATACTTTTTATTTTATTTTATTTTTTTACATTTTTAGCTTTAGTTAAGCAACATGTACAGGGTAAAAATTAAATCCAACAAAAAAAATTTAATCCACCTAAAATCACCACTTACGTCTGCAGTACCTCCCCTTAATATTTAATGCTGGCATTCGGGCATGAACTGAAGCACGCTGCATTTAAAGCCGCATGTCGGGTGGATTTGGGGTGTTGCGGGGGGAGGCAGGGACACGCCTCTCCGTGCCGCAGCTGGAGAGGGCAGATGGGGTGTGACACCCGTGTGTTTCTGTTGCACCGGGTTTTGACACGAATACTGTCAGGTTCACACAATACCAACTGAAATGAATGCAGATCTCTCAAACGCACCGCCTTTAATAGATTCTTCGCCATCCACTGGGCTTCATTTGTCAAATGTCTCCCGGCTGTGACATTTCCCACGGTGTCAACCTACAAGTGCATTAAAAAAGGGATGCATTTTAAAGACTCCAAGGGGGAAATCATCTGTGCAACATACACACATGCACCTTTCTGCAAATTGCTTCAGTGCCTTTGTCTATCAAGAACAAATAAACTAGAATAAGCTGTGATTCGAAACTCGGCCTTGTATCATTTTCTATTACATAACTTATGTGCAGTACTGTGTGTATACATACATATATACACACACACACACACATATACATATACATATATATATATACATATACATATACAT